GGCTCTACGTGGACCTGAAAGAGGGGAAGGTATGATGTCTGATGATGTAGTGGGTTTGCAATGAAGGGGACTCACACTTGACAAGCCTGGAATATCAACTCAGACTCAGGACTGACTTCAACCCCAGAAAAAGTGAGCATGCTGCCCTTGTAACTGCTCTCTGTAAATTATAATTTTGCATTTTCTTCATGGGTGGTTTTGTTTTTCATCCTAATGCCAGAACTCTATTGATCAAAAAACATATAAAATCTTCCAGCAGACACAATGTGGTCAAAAATCTTACTTTACAACCTGTTTAATTGTCATAATGACAGTCCTACGTCATTTTTTGGAAAGTAAATCAATGTCTGCAGTAACCCAGGGAGTGTAGCCCTTGTAACACTTCCAGTTATAAATTGTTTGATTAGATTGTTTTAAAACAATCACATTTTTTAATTCAACAATATTGTTTGCCCTATTGCCTTTTTATGGACCTAATCCTCCCATAACATTCATCAGTTTGACACTGCGTACTGGCAAAGAGCACAAATGTACATGTATATTATAATTTTTGACAGCTGAAGGTCTGCAAACTCTGCTCCCTAAATAAATAAATAATTGCTCTGTGCCAAATCCGAAGCTGTGAGGAACAAAAGTATCAATGAAAAGAAACATTTTGAAAATGTTAAGAAGCTTATGTCGTAATATTTGTGAAAGATCCTTGTGATTTTTTTGGGATTAGTGTCCATGACTGCATCCTCACACGTTGCCAAGAGAACTGATCAGAAGAGCACAACAGCAGGCTTCACGAGGATTATCAGAAGAGTCAGTACGATAATTGGGTGTAATCTTGAGTCACTGAATGAGAGTCATGACAAGTTCATGCCTTCATGGGTTGCCACTTTCTGATAAGTCACCATTAATTAGGGGTCTCTGGGCATTAATTAATTAGAGAAAATCAAGGCAAACATTTAGCAGTTAGTCACTAATAAATGGTTACGAGTTTCCCACTTTTTAATAAGCAATCAGAGCTAATCAGTCACCTGCAATTATAAATGAAGGATTGCTATCCATTGATTATGCAGTTGTAAACGTTAATAAACTGTCCATAAAAGGATTTCAGTCCATATGACCTGCAGCAACATTTCCAGAAGGTAAGTGGTCAAACAGTCCATTGTAAGGGTCTTCCTTGTGAATTAAAGAGCAAGAACAACACAGCACACAAGTGTGATGCTGGAGGAGGACAACCCGCTAACCAAAATGTATTCTTCTTATTGGCTTATAAATTAACCATGAAGAGCGATTAATTAACGATTAATTAATGTTATAAGCCCTGTAGAAAGGGTGACTTATCAGAAAGTGGCAGCCAACCTTGATATTAACACAGGAGGTTCAGTACTTTGAGCTGCATCAGGTGTACAGCTTGTCAGAGAAGTTAGACAAACGTTTTAGACCTTTTATTAAATATAAAATATCAGCCAGTGAGTGTTGCTTACATCTAATATGATAAAGCTTTCTATCCTGATCACAAGCCTCTATCTTCAAAGATTTTTGAACACCTGCTTCTTAACCAGCACAGCTACAGCATCGGGGCTTTCTAATTACAGTAGTTATGGAGCTCATGTCACAGATGTGTGTACGAGGCAACAGGACTGGGGACCCGTGTGCGGCAGAACTGACAGGCAGAACAGGTTGAAGAAAAATATTTTTACTAAATCAGTGTTCACTTTAACAGGCTTAGGCACGAGAAGGCAAACCAAACAGGCATACAAAACCAGAGGGGCAAGGCAGGCGAGCGGGTCGTAGACAGACAGGGTCAAAACACAGGTAGCAGACATCAGGCAGAAAATCAGAAAGAGGAACAGGTGCAGAGGGCTGAGACGCACATGCACAGCTGACATGACAAAATGGCAAAGGGAAAGGGCTAGTGAGTTGGTTATACACAGTGACCATAGAACAACTGTATAAATGTACACAATACAGTACATTGACGGATTAGGGATGATTGTGGGGAGTCAGGTGAGAAAGTCTGAGGGAATCTAGTGGACAGGTTGAGAATGGCAGGTGTGGGAAGTTCAGAAATGCATGGTGGGCCTGGGGGAAGTGAGAAATATGTCTGGAGGCAGAGACAGAGGGAGGAGAAATAAAAACAAAGGGCTGTCCAGTGTCCATCAGAAGTCTGACTCTTAGCATTAATGCTGCATTGGGAACTAAATAAGCCTCTTGAATGAGAGGCGAAATGTCTTCAAGTTTCTTTAACCAAGTCCATTTGCCCTTAATTTTTTGATAACTATGACCCGGATGACTGAGAATCTTCACAGACAATTTAATGCTGTATTATTTCAGTCCACATGGAGCCATTTCTCAAGCATACTTCACTTTTTCTAGCCGGAACGAATTTCTCCACAGTATGCACTTGGAGCCTTTTGACTTTTTACTTGATAATCAGAAAGGTGAGGTTTTTTTCCTGCAGATTCCTTCTTTAATCTGATCCCTCTGCAGAGTGGTGTTGCACAAAGACATGGAAAGAATATGTGTATATTCAACACTGGGACATGGGGAATGTATGTAAAAATGTGTCACTGCATAATAATATTACTTTGTTTAAGTTTCGTCAGGAAACTCATTTTTTATAAGAATTTTATAGATAGGACTTTGATCATTCCTGGCTCAGGCGACATATTTAGCAATACCACTGCTACTATAACTACAGCAGATCCAGTTTTAATGTGTGGCATACATGTGCTGCAACTTTATAGCCTTAATTTGAATATAAAACCCATAAAGTCTGTCAGCATGTGTCATTTGTCTTAAAACAGATTTAACATCACACAAAATAAACACAAACTATATCAAATATCTAGTGGCTGCTTAAGTTCAGATAAATTAGTATCAGTCAGCGGAGATGGGGACTCGAGTTTGAGACTTGGACTTAAGTCGCACACACAGTGACTTCAGACTCGTCCTCCAAAGACTTCAGACTTGGCTCAGACTCGAGGTGCGGGACTCGTGAACAATGTTCATTTTTAGGAAACGTTTTGCATGCCTGCCGAGAATTGCATGCACCTCCAAATACTGCTTTTAAACACTACAAAATCCTTCCTGGGGTTCATCAATGGTGATGAATGATTCGAAGTATATATTTTTTGTACGTTTAGAGTCGTTAATATTTTATTACACTTAGTAGAAGTAGCATTGAGATTCAGCTTAAAGACGTGGTGATTACCGCGTTTGATCAATGAGCACAGCAGAGTGTCTGAAAGGGACCTTAAGAGGTGGGTGCATAATTTGGCAGGACAGATGTTGTCGGGTCCGTGTACGTTCTCAGCATAAATGAACGTTACCAGCTGCGAGGTGCATGCTCGGTAGGCAGGCAGAATTCGGCACAACACCGGTTTAGCGTTGATTATGTAACATTACAGTTTTATTTAGTTTTAAGGTTACACTGAGTTTGAGAGTCTGGAGAATGTGTTGAATTACAGGAGTCTATAAGCTCTGATTAGTTGTAGATGCATTTTCCATTAGGCTACATGGTTATCGTCTGTAAGTGAAAAACAGGTTGGTTTATTGATGATTACCATTACAGTTTTTATTTAGTTATAATGTTAAATTGGGTTTGAGAGTCTGGGGGTGTGTTGATCTACAGTAGTTAATAAGCTGTCATTAATTGCATTGCACATATCAACTGAACGCAGCAGGTGATACAACTCTCATTACAACCAGGAGTGATTTGAGACTTGACTTGGACTCTAGCTCAAAGACTTGAGCATCCCCGTCAGTCAGAAAGTCCACTCTGGTCAAGCCTTATTATGTACTGCATGTGAACAATGCCGGTATTGATCACTGTGTAGATTGTATCACTTGTTGTGTTTCAGCTCTGAGGGAATTCCCCACTGCAGGATCAATAAAGTAATTATAATTCTCAGGCAGCAATTCAGTGATAATCACGGTCATTATCAAAGCACGGCTGCATGAAGCATGAATGGGGTTTCCATTGGCAGACAGCAGGGATCAGAGGATTATCATCTCTGTCTCTAGCCATCTCTCTGTTTCTCTCTTTCTGTGGATTAGTTTTATCTACAAGGCAATCAGGGCTTTACTCTCGTCTGACAGAACTACAACTCCCACAGTCACACGCACAGCAGATATCAACACTACACAGCCTCATACAATCAACTGTGGTATTGACTCAAAGGCTTAAAACAGACAGAGAGAGAAGCAGGAGAGATAAAGCCAAAAAATCTGGGTTTCCACAGTAACATTTTTGTACAAATGATGCTCTTATCACTGGAGAAACAATATGAAACCACCTGAATGAGATTGTCTGCTCTGACCTTCTTTGGCATCGCCTTTGCTCTAGTGGATTTCATTGTGGTAGTGGAGAAAGATGTGAAAATCCAGGTGTACATGTAGCCTATATCTAACACATTTTGGAGATGGATACTGATACAAAACAACTCAGGGAAAACTCAAAGTTACATTTGGCTGCAGTAAAATAAGTGAAATAGGTAAAAGTCATCTTTTTCCCCCTCCGTCTCTAATTTAGCAATATTAGTGGGAATGTGGAGGGCTGCAGGAGTTTACCTTCTACAATTACACACATATTCCATATGTTGGATATACAAAGGCAGGCAGACTTTTTAGGCTAAAAAAAAGACTTTAAATTAATTAATTAAAACAAAAGAGGTGCTGAAACCATCATCATAACATATGAAGCTTGAGGAATAATAAAATAATGAATAAATAAAATGTTTATATGTAATTTTTTAATTCTCTGAACAATTTCCAGACTTTGATGGGTGACTATTACAAAATGTTTTAGGTTGACAAGATTTTGCAATGGGACTTTGACCTCACGCGCTCAGTAACCTATTTCTATAATCACAGGCTGTACTTTAAAAAGATAGAGGTCTTTGAGTGTACAGATAAAAAGCCTGAAATAAATTTCATGGAAATGTTTTCATGCTCTTTGACCACACAGCTGGTAAGTTCAGACATTTGACAGACATCAGACATCAGTGTTTGTTGTACAGTAGATATTTTATGCTGAGACATTTATTTTAACTGCACTAACTGCCTTCCAGTTTTGTAACATTTAAAAACATTTTACTACATTTCATCTCCAGAGTCTAAACAAGCTGTCAATCAATTTTGTTGGCTTTTGAAAAAATCTTTCAGGCATTTTTGGATTGGATAATGCAAATTTAGAAAAAAATATACAGTTATGTACTTTGTAATTGACCATTGACTGCAGTGAAGTTTCTTGACATATTGCAATATGTTATGCAATATTGAAATCTCTTGGACTTTCTGGTGATTTTTTTCAGATTTTTCTATTCTTTTTTTTCCATTTGACTGCTGTATTGCTAAAGGTTTGATTACAAGCGTATAATATATATAAAACCAAATTCCACCTTCTGACTGGGACATGACCAAAGTCCCATGACCATGGGATCTTAATTTTAGGAAAAGCATACAGTCAATTATGATACATGTATCGTCCTGCTCTAATTCTGTCCTTATAAATTAAAATTTTGACAAAGTATTTTTTTATTGTGAGGTTTATTTATTGTTTTTGACATTAAAGCAATTTAACATCTGCATGAAAAAAAGTTTTGCATCATAATAAAAAGTTTTTTTGCTGTTATGTTATGTTGCTGTGATGTTAGTTTCATCTAGTTAAGGCAAGTTTTCCATTTTCCATGTAAAATATATAAAAATGTTTATAATCCCAAAGGCAAAGTGAAACAAAATATAATTTTTCACATCAGCGATTAGCCAGCACATACACAGATTATCGTTCCATCAAACCCAGCAGACCCAGCAGACAAACACACCCAGAAATATCCCTGTCCCTGTGGGGACATCCCATTGACATAATGCATTCCATAGACCCTTATTCTACCCTTAACCTAATTGTAAATTGACCCCTAAAACCAAGTCTTTACCCTCAAAAAGCAGTCTCTATCAATCGGGTGTGCATTCAGGTTTAAGTCCCATTGAGATTTAAGAACATGAAACACACAGGCACGCACTCAGGTGTCTTTAACACTTTCACCACGGCTGAACTTCTTTATCAGAGACAAACTTTCCGTGAGGCTCTGTGGCTCCGGGGGGCAGCAGTGCCAGGTAGACTGGAGTGACAGCGCCCTCGTCTGGTGACTTGGGGGCTTTCGATCCAGCCATGTCAGTCTGCACCCAGCCTGGACAGCAGGCGTTCAGCAAGATCTGTAAAACAGATGACAAGCATATGTTGTGTGGAATATAATTTGTCACTTGTTTCTGATGACTCTGTCCAACAACCTCCCTGTGTTTATGATATGAATTTATTTTAGGAAGGGCAAAGGCAAATTCAAAGTACTTTACAAACAACATAAAGGCATTATGTCAAGATATACCTCTGATTACAGGACAGAGGTGGTATGTGCTCATTTTCAGGTTCAAAATCTTATTTAGGGGTTGTACCACAACAGGTTTACATTTTCAAAAAAACACCATATTTTTTGTCATACTGCACATTACTGCAGCTCCTCTTTTCACCCTGTGTGTTGAAGGATTCGTTTTAGCTATGGAGTGATACATCTTGTCTCTACATGATCTTTGTTGGGAGTTGCACATGCGCAGTTCCTAGTTAAGGACTACTAGCCAATCAGCTTGGTGAGCGTTATATGAGGCGCATTTATATATTTATATAAATGCGCCTCAGGAAGCGGCAGGACTAAAAACAAGCTGTTTTCAAGCAGTTCAGAGCAGTGGTTTCTGTGGGACATGGGAACTCCCTTTGGGCTTTTTCACTTTGCAAACCTATTACATGCACAAAAAAGATATATAACTCAATAAAGGAGAGAGAAAAGGCTAGAAAGCATAATACCACCTCCTTTTCTTTAGGTCCATTTAACATTATCTAGATACTATGATGCACAAAGTGGTTAAAAAAGATGGTACTTTGTTTGTTGTTTGATTAAAAGGTGATTTATTTATTAATTACCCCGTCATTTGGTCTCTCATTTGATAGACGACGAGCCAGGATCATGGACAGGGTCTGAAAACACACACACACACAGACACAAGAAAAATCAATGTCTCTGTGAAAGGAAATATATAAGCATTCCTGCTGCACACATCACGTCACCTTGCGAGGCACCTGTATTCACTAGAATCACAATATGAAACGGGATACTAAGGGATAGCTCCCGCAGTTCCAAATCTCTGACGGTGGACACATTTCTACCATCACATAATAAATACAACATGTCACCCAACCCTACCGTCAGTCCAGTTTTGGATATTCCATACGCTGTTTCAGGCCAGCCGCCCTGCTTGAGCTCGCCCTTCTTGGCCTCCTCAACGAAACACTGCATCAGTCCCACCAGCTCCTCCTCTGTGATGTCCTCACTGCGGAATCGCTCCTGGAGGGCCGCGCTGCACTGCTTCAGAGCGCGGGAGCTGACGAAGCTGGAGATGTTCACCACACGGCCTGAAATACACACACATACCAGCAAACATGCAGAGGTTTGAAGGTGTTAACTGCTCACCAAACCTCTTTGTGTGTCTTGGTCACTCTCTGTTAGCATGGCAAACTACTTTGTCACCTTTTAGAAAGAAGAAGAAGATATACTTATATAACTCAATGTTTTCACTCTGTTATTATGTTAGTATACACACAGGTCTGAAAGACTCACACATGCACAAACATGACCCATAGCAACACACGTGGAGATGTCAGAGTGAGGGGGCTGCCAGTCAGTACGGCTCCCCCGAGCAGTTGGGGGTTCAGGAGCTTGCTCAAGGCCTCCTTCGGCAGTGCCCAGGAGGTGAACTGGCACCTCTCCAGCAACTGCCGCCCCAAGAAATGTCACAAAAGTAAGTTTGAGCTGTGGTGTGTTTGTGTTTGTATCAGGAGGATTGTTTTCATGCATTTAGTGTTGGTTAATTGTGACTACATATCATGAAAATCAAGAAAAGGGAGGTCCATTTCATTTTCTAATGAGCTGTGATGTTTATAATGTGTCACCTTTGGTGACGTCAGGAGCTACTGACTCAAGACTAAACAAACTCTTGAAATTGGAAAGCTGAGTAGAACAACCACTCTGCTTCTCACTATTCTGCCAAATTGTTTTTAAAAACTGTAAAGTAGGCTGTGTGCGCTGAGCTGTGAGTTTAAGAGGCAGACAGTACACTTGGTCCAGATCTGTGTCCTTACCTCCAGCTTTGATGATCGGCAGGAAGTGAGTCAACATGTCTCTGGTGGCGAAGAAGTTTGTCTTGAGGGTCACCTCTGCCTGGACCGCAAATGGAGTGGTGTCTGCCACTGAAGAGAGCAAGAAAGAGAGAGAGTTTACAAGATGTTGTTACGTAACAGGCTCCTTCAGTTCACAGCTGCAGCTTCAAACATCAGAAATACTTTGATTTTATGCCATTTCTTGTCTCAATGAGTGAGTCGGTCAATATGGGATGAAAAATGGCAGGAATAAAAGCTGTTCAAATAATGTTTATTTGCTATATTTAATATATAATAACTGCACTTACAGGGTGCACTATTGATGCTTTGCATTTAGAGTGCCTGCTGAAAAGTCAAGTGTTTAACCAAACACTTGCATTTGTATTTATCCCTGTGGTTAGTCTTTCCTCTCGCTACTCAGCTGTAGTTGCAGGTGAGAGCATCTCTACACAGGAAACTAATGAAAGTCCAAATAAATCTGTTTTATTTGGTCTAATGCTTTGGTGGGATACCGTGCATATGTTTGTTTTTATTCAGATTTTTTAAAAACAGATTTTATGTGAAAAAAGGACATTTTGAAAGTACAGGCAGCTTTCTATCAGGTTACTTGTTGAAAAAAATATATAGACATTGTTCAAGATGTAATAATTTGATGAATAATTGTAATAAATAAAAATAATAAATATCACTACTAATACTCCTACTAATAATAGTAATTATGTGTCAAAACAAACTACTGTATGATTTGAATACCAGTAAAAGGTTTATTTGTTATTATAGTAGTAATATTAACATTGATAATTTACAGTACTGTGCAAAGGTTTCAGGCAGGTGTGGAGGCATACTTTAAAGTAAGAACGCTTCCAAAAATAGACTTCTTAATAGATTATAATTATAAATTAACAAAATGCTACGTGAACAGAAGAAAATCCTACTTCCAAATGCTATCCCAGCATTATTGACGAGCACGTCCACTCCTCCATACTTGTCTTTAAAGTACGCAGCGGCGGTGGTGATGCTGTTCAGGTCATTGATGTCCAGCTGGTGAAACAAGGCCGTCAGTCCCTCTGAGGCCAGAGACTCCACTGCTTCCTGACCACGACCGCTGCAAAACAATTGGATTTATTTTCATCTTGTCTTAATTCTGATAAGAAAAAGATCTGTTGGCAAAACCTTGAACCAATGGGCTTATAGTGCTTAGTGTTTATTCTTTGTTTTGACTGCGTAGAGGCCTGAAAAGGCTTTTTGGGTTTTTCGCAATCAACTTCTTACTCTAAGTGATGGGAATCTACATGAACACAAAATAATCTGCAGAAGCTAGAACATTTTTGAATAATCCTCATGAAATTCTCTTTTTAAAAACATTGTGTAGGGGGAGCAGTCATTTCTTTGTCTGTTTATAAACAGTACCACATGTAACAAACATGTTACTACATATTTGTTACATGTGGTAACATGTGGAAAATGTTTCCACATGTTGTAATATGGAATAACATGTGGATCACACGTGGAAAACATTTTACCACAACATGTAACAAATACTGGCACATTTTCAAAGTTTCAGCATTACAATTTCAACAACTGAACTAATTTGAGTACTGACGAAACAAGGGTATGACAATCTTTGATAAATGATAAATACATATGGAATCTGTTTAAAGGCAATACATACGCGCACCACAAAGGTGTGTATAGGCTTTTTCCATTAACTTTTTATTGATTGGGTTTAGGTTTTTAAAAGTCTCTTATTTTGAGAGAATGTGCTAGTGAAGCAGGACTAGCAAAGTATGAAGAAATGACACCAGATGCAGAGTCTTTAAAGCAATGCAGTGTGTATTGAAAAAGAATTACTCACAGGATTGCAACATCACATATTATGGCACAAACTAATATTAGCTCAAGAAACAATCCTCTATTACACAATTCCATAAGAAGTTCAGTAGACTCCCATAATGGCATATGTGCCATAAAGTGATCAAATAGCATAATAAAACAATTAAAAGTAAACATTTTGCCACCCATATATAGGAAACGTTAAATGTTAAATCAAATACTTCATTTAAACAAAATGGGTACATGGTCCTGAAGCAGTGGATCAGGAATGTTTGCCTGACAAAGATCTTGCAGGTCGAAACATTGCACAACAAAATAGAAAATTTTCAGTGTGGACAGCCTCTTGTTTTCCATAAAATAATAAATTGCCCCACAACACTAATGTAATCATTATCCCCTTCTCATGGGTCAGCTTTTTCTAGATTTTATTTCAAAACAATGGTGCAGTGATGAGTTTGAAAAGTGAGATTTGGTAAAACGTGAAAATAAAAAAATGGTATGTTCCTTGTTAGTGACATTTTGGTAAACTTGTCTAATGTCCAGTCCAGGTGTTACCAGATGAGCTACCTACATGTCTCTGGCGGCGAGGTAAACATCTCCTTGGAACTGCTTGCAAAGTGCTCGGACGATGGCCAGGCCGATGCCCTTGTTACTGCCCGTTACCAAAGCCACCCTGGTAGACATGTCTGTGTACAGAGAGACATCAGTGAATAAACTCGCATATTAAATGCTCATTAACAGCAGAAAACAGCCATGTCTACACATTAAGCATAAAAACATGCACAAGAGTCAATTATGTTATCAGACCAATAGGAGGAGACTGAAAACGAATTTGCAGAGTCACGGTGACAAGTCCAGAGAGATTACTGTTTCCTTTATATTCTTTAATCTGGCTATTATCTATCTGGAATTAAGAAGCCATTCATTGACGATCAAGCATCAATCATAAAATGACACTTTAAAAAAAATAAAAAAAATAAAAGTGCACAGTCACACCATCTGTATGGGGGTAACTGTCCCTGATGCAAACGTTAGAACTGGTTTTCCAACGATTGTGGATTATGACTGTAACAACATGGGCGTGCCACTGATCTTTCATATCTCAAAACATCAAGACTTTCGACAAGCATGGGTGACATCAAGAGTTAATAAATCGCGTGTTTCATTATACCTTTTAGCAGTGTTTGAAGAGAGGGGAAAAAAGGGTGTGAGTAGGTCCTCATTTGCAGTCAGTTGCTGTTTCACAAATAAACCTGTTTTCTGATATTACACCACTGTGGTTAAGGTTTGATTAGGGCTAATGTTAGTGTATTCATTATCATTTCAGATAATACTAAATACCTTCTTACTACTACTAGTATAATAATAATAATAATAATAATTCCAGTTGAACAAAAATAAGTTTTATTTTGGGGGTTTGTTCTGTCATTAAATATCCTTGTGCAATAAAAATGCTGTTCATTGTAGTAGTCACAAATTCAACATTTCTAAAGTTTGCTGTAGCACGTTAACTTTTTCTTTAATGTCCAGGCTGTGATTGGTCGGTTCAGGGAAAGTTGCACTGAGGAGCGAGTTCTCGAAACATGTTTGCCTAAAAGGCACCCGATCTTCGTCCTCTTTCTCTCTCTGGCAGTAGAGAGAGCATCACATAGTGTCCCCTGGGTAATGCAGTTAATTTAGGGCCATATGAATGAATCGCCCAGAGATCCTGAGGGCAGAGAAGAGTTCTGCCGAGGTCTACATGAATTGCATGCACCCGCGTACTGTTTAAAAACGATATAGGCTAATAATCTCTGAGGGGGTTCATCAACGGTGATAAATGGTTCTTAGTTTATATTTTCTGAACGTTTAGAGTCATCAATATTGTATTACTCTTTGGATTCCTTGAGATTAAACAAGAATAGGTGCTGATGCTCTGATAAGACCGGACCTTTCTCCTGATTTCAGATCAGAGATTTTAAGTAACTGAACCAACACATTTTCAAACAAATAAAAGTGGATACTAAAATAAACATTTATATGTTAGCAAGCTTCTAACTTTATAACTATGAAATTGAGGCTTCTTACTTTAAGCTGGTCTCGTTGTGCTGCGCGAAACGTCCAGAGGAGGTGAAGCTGCTCCGGAAATGAAGATTGGATGAGGAAAAGGGAGGAACGCTGCGGCGCAGTGTCAGTGCGCATACCCTGAAAAACAAGTTATCCCCGTTGGTTTGAGAGCAACCCAGAGTGCTGTGGCGCAAAATCAAGATTTGATGCGGATGAGAAGAATAGCAAGGTATTTTATTTGGTGTTTAACTCTGTATGTAGTTTAATTTAGTAAAACACATCTTGGCGCTTTCTTTGGTTTACAATGCATGTTGGGTATGTTGTGGTGTTTGATGTAGGAGAGACACCTTAACAGTGTTTTGATATTTGTTATTTATCACTAACTAACGTTACCATAAAATGAATGTAAGGTATTGTTTTGTAATTTTTTTAATTGGTTAGCAGAAGTACACTGCCGCAATTTAATTATATTTTTTGCCAGTTTATTCGGCAACTAGATACAAAACCAGGGTGAAACAAATGCAGTTTAGTTCAGCAGCCAGATGAGATGTTGATTCAACTTTATGGACATTCTGAGGCTGTTTATACATAAATGGGTTGGACTTAATTTTAGTTCTCTGTGTAGGTTCTCAGTCATCCAGGTCATAGTTATCCAAAGAAGGTTAAAAATCAAGGGCAACTGAACTTGGTTGAAAATACTAGACAACGTTTCATCCCTCATCCAAGACACTTCTTCAGTACGGTTCTGATTGACTGGTAGGGGAACTCAGCTAATTAACCTCTGTGGGGTAGTTTGCCAAGATCATCGATCCTGCTGCTTCGCTAGTGCTCCTGGCTGCTGTAATGACAGTTATTATGATCATGAGAGCCACCCGAGGCCAAGTCTGAACAGCCATCGTTGGCGTCTGTACCTGAGCCCAAAAGTGATCGTTTTTAAATTTCCTGGGAAAAGACAGCATTGTAAGTGGTGGCCTGCTGGGGGCCAGGAGCACTAACGAGCAGAGGTTACATTTACATTTACTCATTTGGCAGACGCTTTTATCCAAAGTGACTTACATTTGAGGAACAACATACAAGGATCAACAGAGCATCAACTACAGATCTACAACTGACAAAACATACTAGTAAGAGCAGCAATAAATACTAGTAAGAGCTCACAGTACATATCAAATCAATGGGGTAGATACCTAGGGAAGGAAGGAAGAGTTAACAAAAAGTGCAATCAATACAAGATCATTGTAGGGGATAGAAGAAGAAGAGCACAGGAAGTGCATGTTAGACGTTAGGAGTTAGAGGAAGTGTTCTCAGAAGAGATGAGTTTTCAAGAACTTCTTGAAGTTAGAGAGGGACGCCCCTGCTCTGATGGCGTGTGGTAGCTCGTTCCACCATCGTGGTGTCACAGATGAGAATAGCCGGGACTGGGATTGCTTTGTGTGAAGGGATGGAAGAGCCAGGCGGCGTTCGTTGGAGGAACGTAGCGGGCGAGAAGGAACGTAAGTTTGTATTATGTAGTTTAGGTAGATGGGTGCAGACCAAGTAGTCACTCTGTATGCAGCATTAGTGACTTGAATTTGATTCTGGAGGCCACGGGGAGCCATTGGAGGTCACTGAGTAATGGAGTGACATGAGTCCTTTTGGGCTGATCAAAAATCAGACGCGCTGCTGCCTAGGAGGGCATTGCAATAGTCGATGCGAGAAATAACCATGGCCTGTACCAGAAGCTGGGTGGCGTACTGAGTGAGGTAGGGCCTGATTTTCCTTATGTTGTATAGAGCAAAGCGGCATGAACGAGAGACAGCAGCAACATGGTCTGAAAAGGACAGCTGGTCATCAATCATGACACCCAAGTTTCTCACCACCTTGGCTGGAGTGATGGTTGAGGAGTCAATTTGTAGTTTGATATTATGGTGGATAGATTGCTTGGCTGGAATGACCAAGAGTTCAGTCTTAGAGAGGTTTAGTTGAAGGTGGCGAGTCTTCATCCATGCAGAACTGTCCGATAGACAGTCCGTGATCCGAGGCGAGACAGTGGGATCGCCTGGCGGGAAGGATAGGTAGAGTTGCGTGTCGTCTGCGTAGCAGTGGTAAGAGAAGCCGTGCGAGCGAATGATCGGCCCCAGTGACGTGATGTAAATTGAGAAGAGAAGTGGCCCAAGCACTGAGCCTTGGGGCACCCCTGTGGAGAGGCAGTGGGAGGAGGGTAATTGTCCTTGCCACAAAACATTGTAGGAACGCCCTGAGAGGTAGGATTCGAACCACAGGAGTGCTTTACTCGAGATGCCCATTGCTGAGAGAGCGGATAGCAGGATCCTGTGGTTGACTGTGTCAAAGGCAGCAGAGGTTAAATAGATGAACTTCCCTACTAGTCAGTCAGAACTGAAGAAGTCTCTTGGATGAGGGACGAAACATCGTCCATCTTCAACAAAGTTCAGTTGCTCTTAATTTTTAACCTTCTCTGATAACTTAATTTCTTTCGTTGACGTCTTGACTGCTGTATTGCTAAAGGTTTGATTACAAGCATATAAACCCCTCCCACAAAACATAATTCCGCCTGCTGACTGGGACATGACCAAAGACCGTGTCATCTTAAGAAAAACATGCAGTCAATTTGGAGAAAGCATTTTTGATTTTGAAGTGTATTTATTGTTTTTCAAAATGGAAGCTATGTAACATTTTCATGAAAATAGCATTGTGCTTTAAAAAAGCATTTAGTCACAGAAAAGTATTTTATTTTCACAACATTTAAGTTTCATCCAGTTAAGACAAGTTTTCCATTTTCATGTGCAAAATTTTTGATCACCAAAGTCAAAATGACACAGAGCGAACATTTTGTTTTATCAAAAACACCAACGGTTAGCAAGCACCTATACAGATTCATGGTTTAATGTTGCATATAACCCTGCAGGTGCAAACACACACACACCTTACAAGAGTAATTATGGAGTTATGTCCATCACCATTTAGTTTAACCACTAAACTCGTTGGGTTAATATTTTAAATATTGTAATAGTTTTTCCAGATTGTGTCATGTTTCTATTCGGATGGAAAATTTTGCCTGTGCCCTAACCTCAACCATCATAAGGACATGCCTAACCTGAACTCTTACCTTAACCCAAATTATATTTTCAGCTCACCTGCCAAGGTGGCTGGTAGATGAAAAAATACACCAGCCAAACGTATTTTTTACCGCCCAAAATAATAAATTGCCTTTTGTGTCACGTATACATTTGTTTCCATTCTTTTAATTGAGATAATATTATGTCGAATACAAACTTAAAGAAGAGGCCAGACTGAAATTTGAAGCAAAGTTATATTATTGCTATTAAATGTACTTGACTTTTAAGGAAAAAATATAATACTTACGAGATGCTTATTAATCATTCAACTTAAATCTCATCACTGACTCTTAAACATGCTTTATCATTCAGCTTAACTCTTCTCAGACTCCTCAGTTTGCCTCCTGGTTCAGAGTCCTGGTGCCACAGCATCACAGCTTTTGTGGGATCAACATTTTTTTATACAGCCTATGGATCATACTCTTGATCTCTGGGGAGGACAGCAGGACCATAAGATCTGACAGTGGATCAGATACTAGACTGGACCGCCAACTTTATTTTTTTATGTTTTGCTTCAGCCTCCTCTTCCTTTGCTTTGTTTCTTTGTTTTGTTGGTTTCTTGGCAATGATAAATGTTGCCACATTACGCAGGTGGCTAGCCAGCTAAAAGCTAAAAACACTCCCAACTACAACTTTTAATGAGCTCCCAAAACTAGCAGCTTTCACGCTGCCTTATTTCACCGGGGTACTGAGCCAATCTACACTGTATGAAAGGTACAGAGCCAGAAAGTTGGTGACAGAGACGAGATAGAGAGGCGGATCTCTGTGTGAAAAGCCACAGCCGACATGCCGGTGTTGTGTTACACATAACAGTCTTTTTCAAAGCCGGGCCGCTATGTGAAAGCACACATGGTTGTGGGATAACGCTGGAAACTTTTGTGTTCAGTTTGTATTACTAAATGCGACATATATGCGGATATTTTTTCTGCATTGTTCTCCGTATGAAAGCGGCTATAGTCTCACTCTCCCCCCTTTCCCTCCTGACTCCTGTCCCCTTACGCCCCACCCCCTTACAAATCTACACCAATCAAACACAAGTACCATGAAACGAACATAAACAACAACCAATGAAGCCCTTTAATCCGTGTGTTACATGATTTTAGATCCCTTGGTATATCAGGGACCAATTTAAGTACGACACACAACAAACAAGAACCTTTGGCAGAAGGTCTGCTGCCAATTACCGTGAAATAGAAATTATATGGTGATATCATGACGAATACATTTAACCGCCAATGTGGCGGGTGGCCTTCCAACATTTAAGCCCCCAAGTGGAAAATCCACCCACATTTGGCTGGTGTTAATTTCCATCCCTGACCTGAACCCTAAAACCAAGTCTTACCCCCTCTATAAGCAGTCTCTACCCGTGTGGACCTCAACTTCTGATTTTGAGATGCATTCAGGTTTAAGTCCCTTTTGATATATAAGAACATGAAATAAACACACAAGCACACACTCAGGTGTCTTTAACCCTTTCACCACGGCTGAACTTCTTTCTCAGAGACAAACTTTCCGTGAGGCTCTGTGGCCCCGGGGGGCAGCAGTGCCAGGTAGACCGGAGTGACAGCGCCCTCGTCTGGTGACTTGGGGGCTTTTGGACCGGCCATATCGGTGCGCACCCAGCCTGGACAGCAGGCGTTCAGCAGGATCTGTAAAACAGATGACAAACAGATGTTGTAGGGGATTGTTTCTGATGGCTCTGTTACTAGCAGTCCACGACTGTTTGGGTCGTGTTAATGTTGTGGGAAGCAGAAGGTAGTTCAAAGTACCTAATGACAACCCAGAGTTTTCATGAATTATCCTCACAATGATTTAGTTTATACTGAATAGGAAACATCCTTAAAAGTTTTGTAGTTTGAGACAAGAACGTAAAAGTAGCACAAATAAAAGATGAGCAAGTGATAAGAGTGTCTGTACTGTTGTGAAGCAGATTTTACACAATAAATTGTTAAAAATATATGACAGTATATGAAGTCCAATTAACATTATTGCTACAACCTTTAATAAGATACTGCTGAACAAAGTGGTTAAAAAGAAACTAATAGATGGCTCTTGTTTAGATTTCAGTGATTACCCCGTCATTCGGTCTCTCCTTGGACAGACGTCGAGCCAGGATCATGGACAGGGTCTATAAACACACACAGAGACACACATGAATAACCAATGTCTCTATGAAAGGAAACGTGGCATTAGAGAAGCATCTCACCAAATTTTCTCAGCTTTTATTTCCCTTTACATTTTAAGACCTGCAAACTCGTTCTTGATCTCGACTGATGAGATGACTGATCGTCTGATGAGTCACAGTATTTCATTTTATATCACAGGCATGGTATATATCATTAAACATTAACAGTTTAGAATAATCATACCATACTATTTATGATTTTTTATTCTCTTTTATTTGGAACTTCCATACAAACAGGAACAATTCCTCCTGCTCTTTATTTACAATTTCACTCAGGATAGCAGGTGCCAAATCTCTGGGCACATTTCTACCGTCACATAATAAATACAACATGTTTGCCCAACCATACCGTCAGTCCAGTCTTGGATATTCCATACGCCGTTTCAGGCCAGCCGCCCTGCTTGTGCTCGCCCTTCTTGGCCTCCTCAACGAAACACTGCATCAGTCCCACCAGCTCCTCCTCTGTGATGTTCTCGCTGCGGAATCGCTCCTGGAGGGCCGCGCTGCACTGCTTCAGAGCGCCGGAGCCAGCGATGCTGGAAATGTTCACAACACGGCCTGAAATACACACACATTTGTTTGATATAATTTTCTAATGAGTGCGTTTATAATGTGTCACCTTTGACAAGATCAGGAGCTACTGAAACATGAGAGAGCAGGTACAGGTTTGGAGACTATCACCAACAGCCTTTTTTCATCAAAAGTCACTTTTGAACGATGGCCGACTCAAATGAACCTTTTCATCCTTTTAAAACTTTTTCTGAATCAAGACCAAACAAACTCTTAAAATTGGAAAGCTGAGTAGAACAACCACTCTGCTTCTCACTATTCTGCCAAATTGTTTTTAAAAACTGTAAAGTAGGCTGTGTGCGCTGAGCTGTGAGTTTAAGAGGCAGACAGTACAGATCTGTGTCCTTACCTCCAGCTTTAATGATCGGCAGGAAGTGAGTCAACATGTCTCTGGTGGCGAAGAAGTTTGTCTTGAGGGTCACCTCTGCCTGGACCGCAAATGGAGCTGTGTCTGCCACTGAAGAGAGCAAGAAAGAGAGAGAGTTTACAAGATGTTGTTAAGTAACAGGCTCCTTCAGTTCACAGCTGCAGCTTCAAACGTCAGAAATACTGTCTAATTAGGAAACTAATGAAAGTTATAAAGCAGAGCTAAATAAAAAGTAATTATGTGTCAACATATACTACTGTATGATTTGAATACCAATACTGGTATACGAATCATGTTTTGAATTGATAATATATATATTTATATATTATTGTAATCCGAACTGGCGACTTATCTAGGGTGTACTCCGCCTCTCAATGTCAGCTGGGGATTGACTCCAGCCCCCCCTGCGACCCTGTACAAATAAGCGGTTGAAGATGATGAATGGATCATTGTAATCCTACCTTTGAACGCTATCGCAGCATTATTGACGAGCACGTCCACTCCTCCATACTTGTCTTTAAAGTACGCAGCGGCGGTGGTGATGCTGTTCAGGTCGTTGATGTCCAGCTGGTGAAACAAGGCCGTCAGTCCCTCTGAGGCCAGAGACGCCACTGCTTCCTGACCACGACCGCTGCAAAACATTTGGATTTATTTTCATCTTGTCTTAATTCTTTTTTTTTTTTATGTGCACATAACAAATTAACAGAGTTGTTATTTTCTATCATATGATCTCCTAATTGTAGGTGCATCTGTCATTTCTTTGTCTGTACAGGGGCATCTAAAAAGCTTTTTTGTTGTTTTTATCTTGATGATTACACTTACAGCTCATGGAAAGCAAAACTTCAGTATCGCAAAATGTATTAGAATTTTAGAATAAAGACTTTAATTTTATCTGGGAAGAGCTCTAATCAGCTAATTAACTCAAAACACCTGTAAAGCTTCCCTGAGCCTTTAATCTCTCAGTCTGGTTCTGATGCTCACAGTGGACTTTTCCAGGATATTTTTAATGCACCTGTATATGTAGCCTGGTCCAGGTGTTACCAACTGAGCTACCTACACGTCTCTGGCGGCAAGGTAAACGTCTCCTTGGAACTGCTTGCAAAGCGCTCGGACGATGGCCAGGCCGATGCCCTTGTTACTGCCCGTTACCAAAGCCACCCTGGCAGACATGTCTGTGTACAGAGAGACACCAGTGAATGAACATTAACAGCAGAAAAATAAGGTCTAAACAGGCATAGCTACACATTAGGAGGAGACTGAAAATGAATTTGCAGAGTCACGGTGACAAGTCCAGAGACAGACCGGTTTCCTTTATATTGGCTATAATCTGACTTGTATCAAGAAGCCATTCATTGGCGATCAAGCATCAATCGTAAAATGTCACACCATCTGCATGGGGGTAACTATTTAGCCCTGATGAAATTATACATTTTCATTATACATTTTAGTTGTGTTTGAAGAGGAGGGAAAAGGTGTGAGTAGGTCCTCATTCACAGTCAGCTGCTGTGTCACAAATAAACCTGTTTTCTGATATTACACCACTGTGGTTAAGGTTTGATTGGGGCTAATGTTAATGTATTCATTATGTTATCTGATAATACTAAATACCTTGTCACAAGTAGTCAGTTTTATTTTGGGGTGGGGGGTGGGGGGGGTGTTATTTTCTTAAATATCCTTGTGCAATAAAAAAGGTTTACATTGTCTCACACACCAGATGCGAGTCTTATCCCATCCACTGCGCCATCACCACCCCATTCGTGATCGTTCATGCAGAACGAGTTCAACATTTCTAAAGTTTGCTGTAGCCAGTCAACTTTGTTTTTAATGTCTAGGCTGTGATTGGTCGGTTCACGGAAAGTTACACTGACGAGCGAAGTTGAAACATGTTTGAGTAAAAGACGCCTGATCTTCCCCCAGGTGAACAGGTGAGCGTCACGTAGTGCCTCCTGGGTAATGCAGTTTATTTAGGGCCGGAGATCCTGAAATGCAGCTATAGAGAGGGTAGAAAAGAGTTGTGCAGAGTTGGCTACTGCATGCAGCTCCCGGGAGGTATGTTACCGTTTATATGCTGAGAAAAGAGGTGGAAGCAAATGTCGGCAGGTAGCCTAAAACATCTGTCCTGCAGGATAATGAATCCACCACTTAAGGTTGATCAAATGCGGTTATTTCCACAGATTTCTGCTCAATCTCAAGGAATGCTACTTCTACTTGGTATAATAAAATATTGATGATATGATGATCACAACGTTTATAAAATATAAACTTTGAACACAACTTTTATGAACGCATAAATATATCGTTTTTAAAGAGCTACTTGGAGGATGCATGCAGAAGTCGGCACGACACCTGCAACTGTGCGCAATAAGAAAGTTACGGTGCGCCAAAGAGTAAAATGTAGATTTTAGCTTTGAGACCGGACCTCTATCCCGATTTCAGATCAGAGTTTTTAAGTAACGTCAGGCTAAATGGACAAACCCATTTTGAGACAAATAAATGTGGATACTAAAAAGCACATTTATATGTCAGCAATCATATGTTATCTAACTCGATGATGAAATTGAGGCTTCTTACTTCAAGCTGGTCTCGTAGTGCTGCGTGAAACGTCCGGAGGAGGTGAAGCTGCTGCGGAAATAAAATCTGGAGGAAAAGGGAGGAATGCTGGAGGTGTGCGGCGCAGTGTCGGTGCGCATACCCGGAAAAACAAGTTAGCAACAGAGGTTTGATGCCGCGTTCCTGACGGTCGGAACTGGGAAATTTCCAAGTTGAAATATCCGACTTCCAACCTCAAAGCATTTTAGGTGCTTTACTTTGACTATAAAGTTATTGTTTACTATTTACAATGTGTGCTGTGATTGTTATGTGATATCATTCGGCTGCTGGGAATACTTTGGAAATCCGACTTCAGGTGGCGTTCCAGGATAGTTTTTCTACTTGGAGGTTGGAAATTTCCCAGTTCCGAGTTGCCCTGAACGCAGCATGAGAGCACGTCTTATATATCACTACATCATTTCCATCAGGTTAAGCAAGGAACAGAGGGGACATCAAATGACAGAATAAAAAGTAAATAAATAGAATCAAATAAAGGTAGGACTACCTCAGATTAACTTAAATCTGCTTAATAATTAAACCAAGTTAAGAGCTTTATTGTTTTTGACAAGTTTCAGTGACTTATTCAAACATTTTATCTCATTCTTTCAGTAGTTCAAGCAGGGTTTAGTCTTAAAGAACCTGACATTTATGTATAAAGGATTTCCCCAATAGCATCACTTCCCGACCTCCAACTACAAAAACTATCCTGGAACGCCACTTGAAGTCGGATTTCCTACTTGTGAACTTGGAGAAAAAATATGCACCCCATCTTCACAAGAAGCAGTTGAATGAACTCACACGACAACTCACATTGTTAATAGTAAACAATAGACTAAAGGCACCATAAAGTATATTTGCATTTATTTAATTAAAATTATAAAAACTATCATATAGTAAAACATGTTCTGTATGTAAATTGATGTAGAAATATGTTGCTAGGGAGCTGGTTACACTAAGGAATTTCTAAGCATCTTCTCTGCACACAAGTTATTCAGTAAAATGTTAAAAATGCAACGGCGTATAATATATAGGTGTTTAACTCTGTCTGTATGTACCCATAGTATCGTTTAGTAAAACACACAGTGGCGTTGTCTTTGGTGATAGATGCGTGTTGGGTATGTTGTGGTGTTTGATGTAGGAGTGACACCTTAACAGTGGTTTGGGATTTGGTATAAATCACTAACATTAATACAAAGCGCATGTAGGCTGTACGTTAGTTTGGCTTAGCAAAAGTACACTTAAAGCATACAATTAAATTAAAAGTCCGTATTTTGAGCAATTTTATTAGGCACACAGCTAGGTGGAACAATTGTAGTCTAATGCAACATCCATGAAATAAATATGACCCTCATGAAGATATAATGTTCAGTTTTTGTAGAAAGAGTTTATTTACTCAACCCACATTGATATAAATGGGTTGGACTTACTATTAGAAACACATCACATTAATTTCCTGCACCACATGATACAGGCTCCAAAACAAAATTTAATCAATACCTCTCTAAAATGTGTCCAAACCTGATCATGATAACCTTCAGATACAAAGTAAGGGTTTATTGCAGGGTATTAACTGCATTAGTTTAAGATAGGTGTACCTAATAAACTAGCAGTGTAGAATCGTTCTGAAGTAATTTGTAAGAAAATTAATTGGGGAGTATGATGTTTCTTGTACAAGAGAGGATCTTTATTGTTATTATGTTCATGGAGATCAGCATATAAGCAAATAAAGCAAGACTGTAAAAAGGTTAACAAAATTGTTCCAAACAAAAGAGGTGTTGAAACCATCATTTAGATCATAATGCAGGAAGCTTGACTAAAAAATGTACTAAATGCTCTGTGGCATGTTCGGGGTGTTTACGTGTATGTATGTACTATCAGACTTTGATGGGTGACTGTTACAAAATGTTTTAGGTTGACAAGATTTTGCAATGGAACTATCGTCATGAGCTCACTGGCCTATTTCTAAAATCATAGGCTGAATTATAAAAACAATGGAGGTCTTTAAATGTACAGATAAAATCCTGTAAATAAATCACATACTACTGTGTTCAACACAGAGATGTTTTCATGAAATTTGATCACACATCTGGTAAGTTAGGACACATGTTTGTACAGTACATATTATGCTGAGACATTTTTGGACACATTTATCAACAGTCAAATTTGCTGGTTTCTAAACACATCCTTTTAGGACTTTTTGGTAGTTATCTATTCAAATTATGAGCAAAAGCAATGTAACATCTTCCTGAAAAAAAAGCATTGTACTGTAAAACAGCATTTTTATTGCCAGAAAACCATTTTATTTTCACAACATTTGAGTTTCATCCAGTTAAGGCAAGTTTTCCATTTTCCATGTAATAAATATAGAAATGTTTCGACCACCAAAGGCAAAATGAATCCGAAGGTTTTGGCAATGTAGTGCTCAAGTGGAAACACTAGCAGTCTTTCAGTTACTCTCACACCCTCAGGTGTCTTTAACACCTTCACCACGGCTGAACTTCTTTATCAGAGACAAACTTTCCGTGAGGCTCTGTGGCCCCGGGGGGCAGCAGTGCCAGGTAGACCGGAGTGACAGCGCCCTCGTCTGGTGACTTGGGGGCTTTCGGACCGGCCATATCGGTGCGCACCCAGCCTGGACAGCAGGCGTTCAGCAGGATCTGTAAAACAGATGACAAACAGATGTTGTAGGTGATTAAATTTGTCATTTGTTTCTGATGACTCTGTCCAACCTCCCAGTGCTTATGATATGAGTTTATTTTAAGCAAGGCAAAGGCAAATGTCAAATTTGCACAGCACCTTTCAACAACATGGCAACGTGCTTTACATAAAACATAAAAACATTAATTATATATATATATATATATATATATATATATATATATATATATATATATATATATATATATATATATATCTCACAAAAAAGCACTTAAATCGAATTAAAGCGAATAGATGGTTCTTGTTTGTTGTTATATTTCAGTGATTACCCCGTCATGCGGTCTCTCCTTGGACAGACGGCGAGCCAGGATCATGGACAGGGTCTGAAGACACAAACACAGAGACACATATGAATAACCAATGTCTCTATGAAAGGAAACCTGGCATTACAGAAGCGTTTTCCTTTACATTTTAGGAACTGTAAACTTGTTAAGAAATGGTTTAAAATAACCATACTTTTTCTAATTATTTTCCTCTTTTATTTGGAACTTCCATACAAACAAAAACAATTCCTCCCGCTCTGTATTTACAATTTCACCTGCAAAGGTTGGCCAACCAGCATTGAAGGATATCACCGCCACCAACTGCCGCTCTCCCGTCTGGATTCACAAGATACATAGCCCGCCGCAAATATGTAGCAGAGACACTAAAGGATAGCTCAAATCTCTGCCCGTGGACGCATTTCTACTGTTGCACGGAATATACGTCATTTCGCTCAACCTTACCGTCAGTCCAGTTTTGGATATTCCATAAGCCGTTTCAGGCCAGCCGCCCTGCTTGTGCTCGCCCTTCTTGGCCTCATCAACGAAACGCTGCATCAGTCCCACTAGCTCCTCCTCTGTGATGTCCTCGCTGCGGAATCGCTCCTGGAGGGCTGCGCTGCACTGGTTCAGAGCGCGGGAGCTGACGAAGCTGGAGACGTTCACCACACGGCCTGAAATACACACACAAACCCACATGTCCATTTGATGTAATTTTCTAATGAGTTATAATGTTAATAATGTGTCAACTTTGGCAAGATCAGGAGCTTCTGATACATCAGAGACAGCGGGTACAGGTTTTGGAGAAAGATGTGATCACATATTTTACCAACAGCTATTTTAGATTCTCCAAAGTAACTTTTGAACCATGGCTAATTCAAATTAACCAAATTTAACTCGCCCACATCACTATTCATCTTTTTAAAAATTTTTCTGAATCAAGACCCAACAAACTCTTGAAATTGGAAAGCTGAGTAGAACCACCACTCTGCTTCTCACTGTTCTGCCAAATTTTTGCACAAGTTTTTTTGTTTTCTTTTGAGACAGTGCAGAAGCTGTGTACCTGAGTATCAATAAAACATCAATAAATCTAAATTGAACATTACGAAGCGGTAGATCCGTGCTAATGTACCTTAACTGGCTGGCTGTGTGCCTCATTTCTAAGCGAGGTTACAGCCCATTGCCAATAAGTCAAGTCATTTTTATTTATTAATAAGTGATTTCATTGAAAAACTACATAAAGCCCCTTTATGGAGCAGACAGTACACTTGGTCCAGATCTGTGTCCTTACCTCCAGCTTTGATGATCGGCAGGAAGTGAGTCAACATGTCTCTGGTGGCGAAGAAGTTTGTCTTGAGGGTCACCTCTGCCTGGACCGCAAATGGAGCTGTGTCTGCCACTGAAGAGAGCAAGAAAAGCTCCAAACCATATACTACTGAATAATTTGAATACCATTTTTTGGTAGTTATATTAACATTGAAATGATCAGATATCAATGTATTATTATATATTTTGCATGTACCCCGCATCTCGCCCAATGTCACCTAGGATTTACTCCAGCCCCCGTGCGAACAGATAACTGGTTGAAGATGATGAATGGATCATTGTAATCCTACCTTTGAACGCTATCGCAGCATTATTGACGAGCACGTCCACTCCTCCATACTTGTCTTTAAAGTACGCAGCGGCGGTGGTGATGCTGTTCAGGTCGCTGATGTCCAGCTGGTGAAACAAGGCCGTCAGTCCCTCTGAGGCCAGAGACGCCACTGCTTCCTGACCACGACCGCTGCAAAACATTTGGATTTATTTTCATCTCGTCTTAATTCTGATAAGAAAAAGATCTGTTGGCGAGACCTTGAACAAATGGGCTTACAGAGCTTAGTCTACTAAAATCTTCAATTCCTGCTTTTTTATTTTAGCTCTCAGACTGCGTAGAGGCCTAAAGCGTTTTAAAAGGATTTTCAAAGGCCTTAAAACATGTTTTCGCTATCAGCTTCTTACTCTGACTGATGGGAATCTACATGAACACAAAATCTGCCAAACATTTGTGGTTAATCCTCAGGAGATTCTCTCTTTTTATTGTGTGTTTTCATGTGTACATAACCGATTGCTAGGGGTGTGATCATATGATTATCTTTGTCTGTACATGTGCATCATCAAAAAAGTTCATTTTCTTCGATAATTTAATTAAAAAAGTGAAACTTTCATATATTCTAGATTCAATACACATGAAGTGAAATATTTCAAGCCTTTTTTTGTTGTTGTAGTCTTGATGATTACACTTACAGCTCATTGAAAACAATACTTCAGTATGGAAAAATGTTTTTTTTAATAATACATAAATGTCAAACTGAGATCTTTAATCAGCTAATTAACTCTGCAAAGGTTTCCTGAGCCTTTCATTATCAGTCTGGTTCTCACAGTGGACTTTTCCACGATATTCTATTATTTTTAATGCACCTGTATATGTAGCCTGGTCCAGGTGTTACCAACTGAGCTACCTACACGTCTCTGGCGGTGAGGTAAACGTCTCCTTGGAACTGCTTGCAGAGCGCTCGGACGATGGCCAGACCGATGCCCTTGTTACTGCCCGTTACCACAGCCACCCCTGGGAGACATGTCTGTGTACAGACAGACACCAGTGAATGAACTCGCATATTAAATGCTCATTAACAGCAGAAAAACAAACAGCCATAGCCACACATTAAGCATAAAAACATGCACAAGTGTCAAACAAATAGGAGGAGATTTGCTGAGTCATGGTGATAAATCCAGAGACAGAACTGTTGTATTTATATTATTTAAATTGGCTATTTAATCTAATTGGAATCAAGAAGTTCACTGGTGATTAAGCATCAATCATAAAATTACACTTTTTACTGTGATGTAAGGCAAGACAAGTTTATTTGTGTAGCTCATTTTAAACAACAAGGCATTTCAAAGTGTTTTACATGAAACATAAAAGCATTATAGGGAAATATAAAAGAGGTTAAATAGAAAATAAAACAGGTAGTGTAAGTTATTAATCTACAGCCTTACATTTGATTTAATTAAGTGGTAAAAAAGAAAGGTCTTTAGTCTTAATTGAGAAGACGTGAAACGTGGGAACTTAATCTGCCACTTTGTCTTATGACCATGTAAAAAAAGCTTTAAATTGTCAAATGATACAACAATTAAATCAAAAAGTCAAATAAGAGAAAAATAATAAAAGTGCATTCATCTTTACGGGGGTAACTATTATGAGCTTTAGCCCTGATGCAAACATTACAACAGGATTGTGGATTATGACTTTGCAAGAGCGTGCAACTAACATTTTAATCTCGAGACATGAAGGCTTCAGGCAAACATTAGGTAATATCAATACTCAAATTGCATGTTTCGCTATACACTCTAGCTTTAAAAGAGGGCTTTTCGCTTAAATTCAGATAATTGTTTTTGCGTTACATAACGCTGACTTGCTAATATGGAAATTTTTCAATAATGAACCATTTCCAAACAAACAAATGTGGACACTAAAATGAACTTTGTCATGTGAGCAAGCTGCTAACTTTGTAACCAAAAGGCGAAATTGAGGGTTCTTACTTTAAGCTGGTCTCGTAGAGCTGCGTGAAACGTGCAGAGAGGGTGAAGCAGCTGCTGCAGAGAGGAAATGGGAGGAGAGAGAAGAGGGTCGGTCTAACGGTGGAGGAGGGGAAATGGAGTCAGAGGAGAGTGTGGAGAACGAGGAAGACACAAGAGGAGTTGTGAAAAGGAAGAAGGATTCAAGTGATGGCAGCCAGGCAGGAAAAACAGATGAGAGGTTTCAAGTAGGAATGATAGCAGTGACAAAGGAAAGGATGAGATCTTCAAAGATTCGCACGAGGTTGGAAAGTTTGTTGGAGATAAACTCGGCCCGGTCCATCAAAAGAACAAGGAGTGGGGATGGGTGTCATTTACTGTGTGAAAGGGGGTAATAAGCGGCGTACCGAGGTCAGTGGAAGACGAGGACTTTCGGGACACTGAAAATGTCTGATGCGAGAAGACTCACAAGATTCCGTCAAGGAGAAAGTGAGGAAAGTAATTCAGCGTGCCTCGCATTTATTGCTATGGTGGTTAACTGTGGGAATTAAGAGCAGGTCAGAAAGGATCAAGATGGTGCAGAAGCAGCAAGGAGATCTGGATGCCAACCGCCATAAAACCCCCAAAGAAGAAGAAGAAGAAGAAAATGGGAGGGAGTGAAGTTTGCCGCGCATTGTCAGTGCGCATACCCGGAAAAACAAGTTAACCACGTGGGTTTGTGGAAACAACCCAAGGAGCAACGACGGAGCTGGATCAAGATTTAATGCAGATGACAATAATATCCAGGTATTGTATTTGATGTTTATGTATATTTGTATGTACCTATAGTTTAATTTCGTTGACAAATAGGCTACCTTGGTGTTTTCTTTGGTGTGCGATGCATGCTGGGTATGTTGTGGTGTTTGATATAGGAGAGACACATTACAGTGGTTAAATATTTGGTATAAATACCTATATTGCTCATTATACAAAGGTAACTTTAGGTCCAGGTATATGTTTGTGTTGTTATTTTTTACTGTATGGTTGGTTTGGAGTTTTGGCATCACTGAGAGAGAGATTGAGTGTGTTTTGGTCAGATTAAGGTGTGTTTATTCACTTTAGTGTGTGTGTGTTTATGTGTGTGTTTGTTCACCAGTGGCCTGCACCACGAAGGGAGTTCAACCTACTCAGAGTTAACTCGGGTTATCAGGCAGACTCAGGGTTGACAAACTCTGACCGCCTACACTGGAGTTAAACGGTACTACGAAGGTGGATAAATTGAGTCCTTGTTAACTTGGTGCGTTCGCATAAAACGGGTGTGTTCGGCCGTGCAGGCAGAGTTTTATCGCAACGGCGCATGCTCCGTATTTCTCCAGAGGAATTCACATTGTTAGTGTCAGAAAATTATGAATGTAAAGACAAGTTAACGGCTAAATCTAATATCGTGGCGGACGACAAAGCCAGGGAGTCTTGTTGGACTAAATTTGTGGTCTAATTATCTTCCCAGTGTTCTTATTGTAGTTCAAATCTCTATTATGTATTTTATGGGCTGCTCTTTTATGTGTAATATGATGTAAAGTTACAACTGCATATAACGTCCATTGTAATAGGGGAAAAAAGGAGCCAGCAGAGGGGGAGTCCTAATAATCCGAGAGAAAAATTAATTTAATCTAGCCTACAAGTAAAAAAACTTGAATATTCACTGACATTATAGCCACACATTTGAGAGAAACTTCGCTTTGCAAGGCTGCAACATCACACACACATCTGCCATGTATTATGCACGCACTGGAAAGTTATATTAAACTTTGCAATTGGATTTAGCAGTGAGGAAATACTCCTGAGTTTAGCCCAAAATCACTGTCATGCACCTTAGAGACTTTTATTGGGCATATTCAGAAGGAAACAGAGTGATTTTCGATTTTTTATGACATTAATTTCAGGGAATTTCTGATTTTTCTTCTTGTAAATTTCACACTTTCATCTACGATTTTTTGAAATATGTGAAAACACTTAGGAGAATTCAATTATAGACTACAGATGGGCTACATCTAAGAAACTATCCCGTTAATTAATTTAGATTCCTCTCTAAAATCCCTGAGGCTGCAGGGCTCGCTCTCTGAACGTAATGCTGTTGTGTTCAGAACTTCATTGCAACCGCAGGGAAGCAAATCAGGATGAAATCTAAACACATGTTATGAAGCGGTGTGTATTAATATCCTACTTCTCATCATTAACACTGGCAACAGACCTCTGTAGGGTAACACCTATCCACCTTTCGTAGTACGGGTTAACCGGGAAGTTACACCCGACGTCACAAAGTTACTCCTGAAGTTACCTGGATAAGCCAGTTACCCGCTTCGTAGTACAGGCCACAGGAGGCATTACAGATCCAGGTGGGGTCATGAGGGGTTGCAGGCATCGGGCTGGAAGAGCTGCGAGGAAGAGGAGGCAGAAACAAGAAAGTCTCATCCAGTCAGGTATAAACCAATTTACTGCTACATGGTTGCTTTATAAAAATGTTCAGTACTGTCAAGTGTTTCAGCACAGACCGGTCTCTCTTCTGGTCTCGCCCATCACCAGTCTGTTTACCTCTGTTTCTTCAGTTTCTCTGTGTCACCATCTGCAGTATGTGAAGCTATTGAAATTTCTTCACCAACGGGGATTCACCTCAACGCTGCTGCAGCCAGCCCTCTTCACTGGTACGACTCAACATACAGTACAGAGCTGTTACATGATTTGCTCAGAGAGAAGTAGCATCTGCACCAGAGTCAGCACCATATTTGTATGAAGACACGGGTTTTGCTGAGTTCTGGTTTGCAATGTGATGTTTATACGAACATTCAGATGTGACAACAGTTAGTTGTAACAACTCATGATTGACAGGTACAGCAGCGAGTCTGATTCTCCATATTCTGCCACTTAAGAGCAGCCTTTGACTGTGATGTAGAAAAGATCAGATAAACATTCACTGCCTCCAACATTTATATAATAACCTGACTGATTGATTGAAGTACCGACTTTGTGCGTGTTTGTTGCTTCATGTAATCCAGACACAGGCAGAGGACTGCAAGCTCTCAAGACCATAAAGGTAAGTCATTTAAAATGCAATTGTGCATCTGATTAATTAAACTACCTCACAGTAATAACCTAAATATACAGTTTCTATTGTCAGAGAAAAACAAGTTAACAATCACAACATTAAATATTTATGAATAAGGCTGGCATTACTCTATATTTTTCTGTACAGGTGTGCACATGTGCATGTATATGCAAGTATAACTATCTGCATGATAACTAAATCAGACACCTCTAGTCAGCCAATCATAATAACATAGCATGTCTTTTGTTTGATTATTTTCTTGTGGCTTTGGGGTGGTTACAATCTTTCTCTTTGTATGTCTTTTCCTCTGTCAGCCTGGCCAGCTGGTCATTTCTCTGCCAGAGTCCTGTCTCCTCACAACCTCAACTGTTCTGGACAGCTACCTGGGACAGTATATCAAGAGGTACACACACTCACATATTCATACACAAGTGAAACTATTTAAAATATCAGAATATGCAAATATCAGCTTTTGCATTAAATCAGCCCTGCAATAACTAATACTTTTTTAAAGCTTCAGTGTGTTACAGAGGTGTTGATTCAACTTTGGTAGTTTGTGTTTTTGTCGTACTGAATTGCGTTATAGCAAATGAGTATGTAACTATGTTTCCAGACACAAAGTGGATAAGCCAAGGGTCTAGAGGTCAGACTCTGAAGGGTTGACTGGCATTATTTTTGTCTCTCCAGCTGGAAGCCCCGCCTCTCTCCTCTGTTGGCACTCTGTGTCTTCCTGGTGTGTGAGCGGCACAGAGGAGAGGCCTCCGACTGGTTCCCTTACATCAACGTGCTGCCTACCACTTACACCTGCCCCGCCTACTTCACCGATGATGCCATGGCTGTTCTGCCTGCCAGTGTGCGGCGACGGGCTTTGGAGCAGAGGGAGGAGGTGCGAGAATCCACTCCTTTAATCAAGACTTCTTCAGGTG